ATATTTATGTTGTAAAGTGGTAAGTTAATAAACGATGAAGTTGTATAAGTTATATGACATTAATCTGATTAAGTTGCTAAGTTGTGTTAGGCATGTAGTATTGATACATGTCTTTGCTAAGATACATAAAAATTAGAGAAAACTTAAAAGTGGATTTAGAAATTTAAATATCTCATTGTGTGAATATACATTGCGGTGCTTTGAGAATCCAATTGAAACCCTTTAATAAGTGCACTAGATTCTAAAGGGTGGTTGTTTTAAGTTGTCTCCTTTAGGTTTTATGTGGTATCCGTTTGTGGGTAAGGTCAAAATATTCATGTATAAAATGACAACCAATTGAGTAAAATACAAAGTTGGGGACTTAGTCCTTAACTAAGTATTAGAAGAACATAGTATTTAAAGGCTAGTCAGTGGGCTAATCCCATCGGCGGCTTAGTGTTAGAAGCTAATGTTGTGGTAAACTCATATCTAAACTATTCTACCTTGACAATAGTACTAGACTTCATAGTTTAAGTGGAAAAACATGATAAATCAATCTGATTGTTGTTTCTAGTTTTATACTAGTTGTTGTTTCTAGCATCATGCCAATCGTTGTTTGTGATTTTATACCAACCATTGTAATTCGGTAGGATCAAACTACTTAAAATATTCACCTCTATTATAAGATATCTCCATAGTTAACATGCGTGATGACGAATTAGTTGTATATTATTGCGTGATGACATGTTGTTAAGTTACAATTGATGGGTTATTTTTTATATGTTGTAAGTCGTGTGAGTAGTATTGGTGATATGTTGAAGTTGTATGATGAAATCAATGTTGTTATTATGTTATTCATGTTGATATGGATGTTGTGATTGTATGATATTTTCATTTCACAAGCTTACCTTGTATTTTTCTTGTGGTGGAAACTACTATGATCATACATTGGTATGGGAGTAGGTCAGGATTAGCATGATTTGTTGGTTGCTTTGGTGGCGAGCCATACTAGTGATGGCTTATTTTGTTGAGGTTACTCATTAGTAGCTAGGTCTTATATAGTCATTTTTTAAGAAAAGATGGTTGATCCAATAAGAAGTGAATTGGATTTTAAAAATTCTTTTTAACTTTCTTAGATAAAAGCTTTCCTAGTGACTTTCCAATTGAACCAATTGATTTTCAACCAAAGTGAAATGGATTGCTGAAAGCACTTATTAATGCAAGTAAGATTTTAACTACCCTACATGCAATGTTCAAGATACAGTAAACATATTAATGAGCCTGTAGTTAGATTAACAAGAAAGTAAACTCAAGTTAAAGGGTAAGAGAAACTTGCACAACAATTTATACTAGTTCAACCTCTTCCATTAGTGACCTACATCTAATCCTTAACTCGATTGAGTATTTTCAGTATTCTTTAATTTCAAAAAGTTTTATAATCACACAACCACATGCAAAACACTTTAGCAAATTAAAGATGCAACTTCTTGAACCCCAAAAGCACCCTTTTAGCACCTCACTACAAGATACCTGTCTTTCTTGAGAAACCTACTCAAGTAATCAAAAAGATTAAGGAAAAATATCACCTGAAATATAGAAAAATAATGAATAGGTGTATCAAGCCTAAACCACTTATTCACAATCCTTCAAGTAGATGATGATGATGATGATGACAATTCACTCTCTCGATTGATCATGCTAGAGGTTCCCACAAAGGGTTTCAAACCTCCATTCAAGAAAACACTTTTCTTAAAGCTTACTTAATGATCAAATTTTGTAAAGCATCGATTCTCCTTTAAGTTTTGAGAATGAATTAAAAATGTTGTATAGAGTTTTCTGATTGAAATAATTCATTATTGTTACAAATGTGAAAATCCATAAAGAACACTTTAATCAATTATTTCTTAAGATAATCGATTATTCTAGAGGTTCACTTTTAAAATAATTTGATTATTTGGATATATAATTGATTATTACAACAAGGTTTTACAAGTTACTGAAAAACAAAGCAAATAATCAATTATTACTAGAGATAATCAATTATTTTGAGTAAAAACTCAATACTTCAATTTTTCATACTAGATTCTCTTTAAACCAATTTTAAACCTCACAAATATCATAAATCATCACTCTAAATGAAGAATCATAAACTAAGAATGATTTAGCACCTAGCTAATGCACAAAGCAAAACATGCACAAGGTAAAACATATAACAAATTATAACTTGCACTCTTATCACTTAAAAGGATATAAAAAATAAATTAGTAATCATCAAAATATTTACAAATTTTTTCTTCTACTTGAGCTTGATCAATAACTTGATTGACAAGTAGAGCTTATTTTGCGTATAGTTATGTTGTGAAGTAAATTGTATATGTGTATAGGACATATATATAACCATAAAACTGTTTTTATTTTTAGCAATTTATTTTTTATCTTATACATGGATAGTTTATATGGTTGTCTATATAGCTGTTACATGATAACCCTAGGAAAATTGTTGTCTATTTCGTTTGTGTAATGACTGAATTATAGTTAATGTAGTGACCTATTCCTTACCTTTTGTTGATCCGAACCAAGAAGAGGAGAGGAGAAAAATCAACTCCATACAACTTTCAAATCACCTAATCAACAAGTCTTAATCAGCTACAAGGAGGATAAGAGAATGATTTTAGTAGAAAAAGAGGAGAAAATTCTCTCAAGTTTCAGACTACTTTCTCACTAACTTCTCTTTAAGATTCATGTCTTAAGAAAAATCTTACATACCTTTTATTAATTTGAACCAACTTAACTCTAACTCAACTATCCCATAGACAACTTAACCCACAAAGTCCCTTGACTCCATTCTAAAACAATAATACCAACAAAAATCAACAATTAATCATATAATTAATTTACAAAATCTAAAACACACAGTGTTATATTAAATATTTAAGATTATTGTTATAAATATTTAAAATTTGATTAAAGTTTATTTTCAATAAAATTTAATATTAACATTTCAAAATTTTAAACATATCAATTTTTTTTCAAAGGTAAAATTAAATTATCTTATCTAAATTAAAATTTTAAACTTTAAGAAATTTAAATTAATTTATCTAATCAAAATAATTATAAAATGAAGAAATTTTAAATCAAAACAATTCAAATTTTTAGCATTTTAAATTTTAAAATTCATCATCTATATACAACCAAAGATTGAACTAGAAGATGAATCTTTATCCTTATTATTATCAATTAATAAATATCATATTGTTTAATTAACATATTCTACAAAATCAGATGAATGAACAAGGAGATAATAATTCATGAAGAGTTAGTATATATGAAAAAACGTTACTTAAGAAGATAAAATATTAAATAAAAGATTAAAAATTTTATATTAATTTTACTTTTTATTATTTAAACTTTATTATTTATGTTATTTTTTTTAATTAATTATTAATTTTTGTAACATCAAATATGTTTTAAAATCTTTTGAAATATGTTAAATTCATAAAATCTTTTAAATCTTATATTAATCAAAAGACATGAAGTTAATATCAAATATTAACTTAAGACATGAACTTAAGATCAAATATTAATTAAAAAATTAAAAGTTTTGTATTAATTTTACTTTTCATTATTTATGTTATCTTTTTTAATTAATTATTAATTTTTGTAACATCAAATATATTTAAAATCTTGTAAGTTTATAAAATTTTTTAAATCTTATATTTTTTTTATATAAATTTATTTAAATTTAAATTACAAATTTTGATTATTTTTTTTTAAATTTCTCAAAATTCATTACATTCTTCAAAATTATTTTAGATTTCTCAAGACTTATCTTTTAAAATTTATTACTTTCATGTTAAAATAATGTTTTGAAATATGTGTAAAACAAACATTAGAAAAGTAAAAAAACATAACACTTTTTCAAAATAGCAAAGTGGACACTTAAGTCAAAGGAATGTAGAAGAAGTAAAGAAAAAATAAAAGTTTTTTTTTTAATTTTATTAATTAGTCTTGATCACCGATATTACATCCAATTCTTGATAACTTGATCAAGTCTTAATATCTTTCATAAGAATGTAAGTATTTTTTCACAAACTACTGTTAACTCAACCTAATGTCTCTTCAAGTAAACTTATAAAGTATTCTTTGAATAACAAAACTTCTCTAGGTTTTAAAATCAAGTATTCTTTAAATAACAAAATATCTTTAGGCTTCAAGCTAAAACACATGATTTAAGCAAGGTAAAATAACAAATGAGTTCATCTTACACGCGAGACATAATAAACTTTTAAGTACAATAATTTATAAAGAAATGAAGAATAAAATGAATGAGAAAATTTCGCTAAGGTTCAAGCTCCTTTATATATATATATATATATATATATATGTGATATTTGAAGATGACTATTACAAATCATTAAATAGCACTCTTTGAAGTAATTAAATATTTAATATTTAATGAAATAATTAAATATTTATATTATATAATTTAATTTAAAAATAATTAAGTAAACATCACATGTTTGTATGACACAAGTTTTCTATGAAATAAGATGTAAAATTAATAAATCGGGTTACCAATTAATTTTATGTCATATATTAGCCATGATAATTAATTAATGTCAGATATTTATTTTTAATTAATTTTATCTTGGGACTAAAATTTGACATTAACTAATCGCTTATTAATCTGTAGATTTCAACCCAAGATATTTAACATTTTAGTATTTCACAATAATAGTTAAATGCAGTAGGCAAATTAAATGAGTTCAACGCTTAAAAGAATTTGGGCAATTCTAAGAATGGAAAACACTTCCCAAAATATAACACAATGTTCCTTAAGTGATGAATAACATAAGACCAAAAGTGGTACAGAAAATTTATCAGATTAAGAAAAAATAAAAGTTAGAGGCAATTAATAAGTAATTAAATTCCCAAGATCGGCAAAAATCATCACTTCACCGATTACTTCTCCAACTTGGGTATTTTTTCCAAATTGTGGCCATCAATTTCCTACATCATCAAAGACATATGGGGACCCTTTTTCTTCGTACCATTTCATATAATTCATATAATTCATATATCACTCCATATACATAAACAATCAGTGAGATAAGTCTCACAGTTCTATCACTCACGAGATTCAACCTCAAAACTTTTCCTTGTCTCCGTTTTGAATTGACTCTCACCTTTCTCGCATTTTTTATTATCCTTTTTTGTTTTCCGTACATTTAAATCTGTGATCTATCTACATGTGTGCAACAAGGTTAGAAATCTTTTTTAGATTCTTAGACTCATTCGCGTTCTTCTCAACTCCAATCCACCATACAACCCAAGAAAAATCCACAGGTTCGTTATCACTGTTTTTTTTTTTTTTTTTTTTTTAATTTTTTTTTCGGTTCTTAAATTTTTTTTTTTTTTTTAATCTTTGTTTCGGTTCTTAGATCTTATGTAACCGCGTTTGGTTCTACATATGTTCATCCCAGATGTAATTTTTTACATTTATTCATAAGTTATAGTTTCACACATTTTGCAGCATACTCTGTATGTGATTCTTATAGTTTATTCCAAAGCTAGTAGTTATAGATTTCAATTCACGTTTTAAAGCACAATTGACGTAATTTCTGGCTTTTGAATCAATTTCCAAACACCCATTATATTTATAATAATATATTTATGCATCATGTACTCACCCAATTTTCTCTGTTCTTCTTCTTTCTTCTTCCTCAGCCACCATTTAAAAGAAAAGGCCTTGGTCTTCAATTTTTGCAATACATCCAATTTGGCGAAACTCACCGACCCAATTGAAGACCCATTCCAAAGTTTGCTTCTTTGAGCATCAACATTAACAAGAAGCTCAAAACCTCAAAAGGGCACAAAAAGCATTAAAACGGTCGAAAAGAAACAGAGCATGAGAGAGAACAACGTTGTGATCACGAGGCAAGAGAATTACGGATCGGGGCATTCTCGTCATTACAAGGACGCAATCTGGTGGCCGTTCATGAAATCGCTGTCGAGATCCTCCGCGGTTATCGCCTTCTCCGTCGTGCTCATCGTCGGCGCGTTGGTTTACACGCGCACGCTCGACACACATGTGAGTATATCATTACTATTCTTATTAACCTTTTTTGCATCCAACGTTGATTGGCTCAATGTGTGTGCAATTTTTAACGTTAGTTGATTACATGTTTGTGTCGTGAGTTGAGGTTGTATGAAACAGAGACACGCATGGGAATTCCTTATGCATGGCTGAAGAAATGACATTGTCGTTTGTTCAGTTACCCCGTTATATCGGTGTGGGTGAAACATGTCTCACTTAATCTTCTACCCATTAATTACATATTTGCATGTTAATGTGGTAATTTGCTACTTATAAATATATTAAATGCACAAAGAATGTAGTAGCATGGAACTAGAGGTACCCATCATGTGTTATTGTGCAAAAAATATTTCTAACCTTTTTTTAGAAGTTGGTTTAAGCTCATTCCATTTAGAAACACTAGACTATACATAACTTGTTTAAATATTTTGGATACTTGTCTATTAATTAAACTAGTTTAATAGTAGTATAAAGATGACATAAAAGTTTTATGAAAGATAGTGTGTGTGGATGAGAGGAAGAGGAATATGTCAGCTATTTAGGTGTAATTCATTGGAAAGTCAGATATAAATGTGGTAGGTTTAACCCTTTCTACCAAAGTCAAAAATTAAGTGGGAAACATAAAAACAAAGGTGAACACTCGGGGTAGCTTATAGTTAGGGGAGCTCAATATCTTACTTGACCAAACAATTTGACTAACTCGAGGAAGACAATTGAACAGGTGTTCAAGTTTTGAAAATGAAACCTAATATGCATTAAACTTGTGCCACATTTTGGTTTGGCAGACCACTTACACAAATTCAATGTTACATTTTAAATTTTTTTTATATATTTGAAAATTAGTATTCAATTATAAGACTTTTTATTTTAGTTAATATTTTTATAAAGTAATAATATTTTTGGGTTAATATAATTTATTTTGAAATACGTATATCAAAAAGTCTTAGGTTAATTTAGCATTTGAGTATTAAAGTAATTAACTTTAAAATAATTATATAAAAAAAGCCTTGAACATTGTGCAGAATATATGATCATCAATTGAAAGATAAGTACTACCGAAAAACTGAAGTATAAAAAACAAAACAGACACACTGTTGTTGAAGGGAACGCAACGTGGTGGAGAAGTCGGAGAGCATAGAAAGCGATTACAATAATATATATTAATTATAATATAGAATTCAAAAAATATATATTAACAGTACAGTACATTGTTACATTATTATTCAATCAATCATGAATACTTTATAATTAAAAATATTAAACCTATAATAATTCTTTAAAATTTATACATGTAATAACTTTTATTTAATTAATTTTTGCTAAAAAATTCCCTGGCCTAACATGAGCCGCGAGTGTCGGTTAAGGGTTAACCAGACATGGAGAAATTCAAAGATTGAGTTGTAATGAAGGCTGTGTAGGTCACACGTGTTCTTAAAACTTTCCGACACACCGAAAAAGAGGGACCAACTATTGACTTAGGGATCACGAGCCTTGTAATTTTGCGCCACCCGATTCTTGCACGTAAATTTGTTTAGTTTAGACCCATAACTTTGACGTTATTGTACACTTGCATTACTAAATTATGCAATTTAAAGGATAGTTTAAAGACCTAGAAGGCTAGGACTAGAATCGCACTGCACTGAACTAGGACGCGTGTTTCATTCTCATTTTCTACTTTTTCTAAAGGATTCAAATCTTTGAAGTAAGTCTTACGATTTCATTCTCATGCAACTTACTGTAGTTTATTTACGTTTTTCTAGTTCAACACGCTCAAAGCTACGTGGGTTATACGTAGTTGTTTTATTTTGGAAGTTTGTTTGACTATTTGTAATTGTCATATAAACTAGGACTCTTAATTTATACTTCCTTACAAATGAGAATATGATAAGTTAGGTTAGTCCTTTAATATATAGGATGAATCTGTTTGATAAGATTAAAATTTAAAATTTAACTAATTATTAATTATTTTTTTAAAAGTATATATGATATGATTTATTAGCTTATTTAAAAGTCTATTTTATATTAACAAATAAATAAATTTAATTTTAAATAATTTTAAAAAAATATTTTTAAATATGTGTGCGAGTTTTTTTTTAATTTGCGAGAAAAAATAATTTATTCTATTATTAATAAATTTATATTGTTTAAAAATATTATATTTTAAAAAAATAGAAAAAGGAAATTCATACATACTTATGTATATGAATTACTTGTAGTACTGATGAAAGAGGTTGATCTTATATAAAAAAAATGTTCTTAATATTTTTTATATCCCATTTAAAATATTCTAAATAACAAACTATGAAGATAAAGGAAAAATAGTGAAAATGCTATTGTTTGAGTTTCTATTTTCTATTTTTTTTATTTTGTATGATTTGAAAATGTAAAATATTTAAGTATAATTGAAAGGTAAAAAATATAGACAATTTGATTTTTGCATTATAAATGTAAATTATTTTTTTAATTATATTATGTAGTTAAATATGTTAGTCTATTAAGTTTAACAAGATTTTTTTTATAAGCTTAAGTCTAATATATTTAAATAAATAAACTTTTATAAAAGTCTAAACTTAACTTTTTTTTATTAAATATGTCAGGTCATATTTTAAATAAGTCATACCATAGACCCAATTTAAGGCTTTGCTCATTCCCATGTACCCTTTAGATATCTAGTTGAGACAATGTTCCTACTAAGTTTCCATGCCTTTCACAGTCAAGACTGGTGGGTAAGATACCCTTCCAACATCCTATTCAAAAAGTGTTATGACTAAGCCTTTGCTCATTTTCACGTTCAAAGTTAGTGAGCAAGTGTACCCTCTTGACATCTTGTTGAAAGGATGTCCTAACCTAACCTCTACACCTTCCACACTTGAGGTTGATGGAAAAGCGTTCCTCTCAATATTAAGCTAAGAATGTGTTCTGACCCTTTCAATATTTAATTGAGTGTGTTCTGACCCTCTCGATATTCCGTCAAGAATATGTTCTGATCCTCTTAGTATTTTGTTGATAGTACCACTTAAACCCTGTTTCTTTCTTCACCACTTAGGAGTGGTCAAGCAACCAAACATTACACCATGTATGGCCTTAATTTTAACTCGATGGCTTGTCCATATCTGGCACAAAATTCAACCATTAATAGCTATGATTAGGCACCAAAATATGGTTCCCAAATTCACACAAAACCTATAAATCTCAAAGACCAAGAAGACAATATAAGTAAGTATAAAACCTCCACTATAAGGCAAAGGATAAACATGGCACACTTTTCAATGCTCTGGCCATGGATAACTACTAGGTTATATTTAGTATGTTTTTTAGACTGAAACATTTTGGTGCCCATCATGAGACTATGATATAACCTTTCCTATGCCCCACATTGATCTTTTTTAACTAGAGTTGATAGGTTTTGGAGTAGATGGTGAGGGTGAACTAGGACGCACAACAAAATCCAATGGTAGAAGAACTTGTGGCCATGGTTAATGCTTGAGGGAGGAGAATGTTTAGGTCAAAAGGAGGGAAGAAGAGATTAGGAAGGAGAATGAAGAAATCCTAGTAGAAGGTGGAGGAAATGCTAGCAACCATGCAAGCAAACATAAGGAGGGTGGACGAGAAGATGATGACAAAGTTGCCAAAATATATCTAGCCATTCTCTAGGAGGAGCTTATCTTGTGGAATTATATGATGCCCAAGGTGGAGCCATTCAAAGAGATGCAATACCCAAGTCGACACCTGATGAACTTTCATGCTGACATGGTGATCAGTAATGGTAGTGGAGTTAGGTGCAAGATATTTATGAAAACCTTGAAGAAAGGGGGCACTATATTGGTTAAGTAGCTTGTCAGATTGATTCATCACCAATTTCAATGAGTTTTCCCATTTTTTTGTAGCCTAGTTCTCTACGAATAAGCTTAAGCCTTTAACAATTGTTGACCTCTTTAATATGAAGTAGTAACCTAGAAAATCCTTGAAGGAATTCCTCTGGAGGTTTAATGGAGTGATGATGAGAATAACGACTATAGCCAAGGCGATGTCAATTGCTACCTTCCAAAAGGGGTTATTTTCAGGAGATTTTAGGGAATCACAAGAAGGAGAAGACCTCAAACAATGGTCAAGGTTAGGTTGCATGCCTTGTGCCCCATCGAATTAGAAGAGAGACATGTTAGTAAGAGTAGTGAGGAGAAGAAGAGTTCATGTTTTATTATGAAGGGGATAATAAGTTAAGACCACCTTCGCCTCGAGTTTAATTTTGACCAAAAGATGATACAATTATGCTCCAAGACGAGATAAGGGAGATAGGAGAATAAAGTATGAGACACAAAGAAAGGATGATTGTGGTAAGGATGAAAAGAAGGCAGAACATTGAATCTCTTTGAATGTTCCTAAGCGACATATTCCTAGGAATGTGAACAATGCTAACCTATTTACTTTTTCTAGCACAACTGATTAATAGATAGGGTTAGAGAAGTCAGCGTGATGCAAGTTTTATAATACATTTGACAACGACATTAAGAAATGTTTTATTCTTATCAGACAAATTGAACTCTTGATAAAGGAGGGACATTTATCAAAATATTTTATTTTATTTTTTTTTCAAAATTATCCTTATATTACTTTTATCTCTTAGTTAAATCTCACTCTCTCTTAAATAATTAGAGTTCTATATACTACTTATTTTTCATAATTAATATTGTTTATTCTCCTAACCAATTATAATGCATGTCTTTTAAAGAATCTATATATAATTAATGTATTCTATCAAATTAAGAGAATATGTTTTAATTAGGATTGTTTTAGTCTAAAAATAATTAATATACCAAACACTATGAGTTGGATCTTATATAAAGAAATAAACAATTATTCTAAGTTGGATCTTATAAATAGAAATAAAGCTAGTAACTAATTTATCAAAATCAATAAAAGTAGTTAAGATAATTAGTTTTTCATTAATAATATCATAGAATTAAATTTTGTTCCAAAAATATTCTTTGAATTGATTGATTTAAATAGTGATAATATTAAATGACACTACACTTAATTGAAGAGATAAATTTTTTCTCCAATGAATATAACTTGTATTGTGAATACATTAATAAATACATCCACTTATAAGAGAATATAAAAAAAAATTAGTAATTACATATCTTAAAATAATTAGTTGTTTCTTATAATTAGAAAAAAAATGTATCCAATTGTTTCTTATATAAAAGACTAAAGGGAATATTAATTACTATATCTAGTCCCACCAAAATTTAATTACTAATTACTAAAATTAGTAATTAAATTTTAGTTTTATTTCAAAATTACTCTCTATTTTAAGTGATTGTTACATTTAATACTATTTATAAATAAATACATAAAAAATAGAATTAACAATTAATTAAGGATATAAAAAAAATTATCCGATAATTTTGAGAGTCAATTGATGTTTAAATTAAGATAAAAAAAAATTAATTTTATGACTTATAATTAAAACAAATATAGTAAAACAATATTAAACTAATGGATTTAATTAGTGCTGTCCAATGCATTAGTTAACCCGAGGTTTTTTGTCCTCAAGGATTTATAGGAAAACCGCTTGAATCTAATCATTACTTTTTTTTTTTCGCCCCTGAAGTATCTAGGGCTGACTCCTGACCTTGCTTAAGCGTGGATCAACCCCTACCACTGAACCACACGCTTGGGATTTATCTAATCATTGCTTTAGTTTCATGTAAAATAAATTAATATTTAAAATTAAATTTGCATTAACTTTAAACGATTAGGTATGCGACTGCACAGTGCACACACAGTGCAGTTTCTTTCGAGATCGTAGACGAATCCATTAACTCGATCCATTAGCATAATGGTCAAATACTTTGTGATTACATGCTGCGGTCGATCTATTGCTGTGTGTCAAATTCATTGATTAGTTGTAGCATCACAAATGACATTAGTCTTTGATTTAAAAAAATTATTAGCTGGTTTTAAGTACTTATTTTATTTTACAAGATTTAAATTAAATATATATCATGCAGTGATTTTAATAATTACGCGAAAGATGCATGGTAAAAGAAAAGTGTTGGAATCTAGATTTTTTTTTTCTTGCAGTGTTACTGTGTCACCCTTCTGAGTTCTAAGTTCTAACACAATGCATGATACTGATGTGCAGCCCATAATTTCGGGAGGTTCATCGACGAAATCAGCACTGGGCACATCCACATACCAAGTGTTCCGCGCGCAAATAGAAACCCCAGTGAACTGCAGCGCGTACAACCACACCCGAACATGCCCCAGAAACGGCGGGCACGAAAAGGGGAGCGAGGAGAGGGTCGGAGCGAGCGCCACGTGTCCGGAGTACTTCCGGTGGATCGACGAGGACCTGCGGGCGTGGGCGCGTACCGGAATAACGCGGGAGATGGTGGAGCGGGCGAGGGCGACGGCGAACTTCAGGGTGGTGATCCTGAACGGGAGGGCGTATTTGGAGACCTACGAGAAGGCGTTTCAGACGAGGGACGTTTTCACGCTCTGGGGGATTCTGCAGATGCTCAGAAGGTACCCTGGGATGCTTCCCGATTTCGAGCTCATGTTTGATTGCGTCGATTGGCCCGTCGTCTCCGCCGATCGCTACGCCGGCCCCAATGCCGGGCCCCCGCCCCCTCTCTTCCGCTACTGTGGGAATGATGACACATTGGACATTGTCTTCCCTGATTGGTCTTACTGGGGATGGTAACTTCCCAAGTTTTACCCTTTTTTCTCTTCTCCACTAAACTTATTGTTAAAATGTGATACAAATTCTTTGAATAAGTTAGATTATTCTTGAAAAATAAGTAAATATATTCTAGTAATTACTGGATGATACAAATTCTAGAATTACGTAGATAATTACATATAGATAAAAATTTATCTTAGATAAATATCTCTAGAATCTTTTATATAAAATTAAATGGTAATTTTGACATATTTGTAACCAAGCAACTAGTAAGTTATTTTTACTTAAATCTATTCTACTTCTCTAAACTAGTTTTCCTTTCAACTAAGTTTATCAATATAAATTTGCCTTTCCATTCTTTCTACCAATCAAAAAAGTTTTTACTATTTGATAATTCCTAAACTAATACTTATCGTGCAGTTGTTTGATCAAAATTCAAATTTTACTTTAATATTATGTATTTATATTTAATACAGTTTATTGGTACTGTTCTTTGATATCAATTTAAGTTTTACTATATATTATGTATTTATATTTAATGCGAGTTTCATTAATTTTGTGTATATTATTGAGATAAAATTTTAATTTTGACTAAAAAATAATATCAACCGCATGTAAAGAAGTGTACTAAAGTTTTATTGTTTAATTATTTGTATATCTATGCTGCATAGGCCTGAGGTTAACATAAAGCCATGGGAGCTTTTGTTGGTTATTTGTATATCTCAGCTGCATAGGCCTGAGGTTAACACAAAGCCATGGGAGATTTTGTTGGTTAATTATTTTACCCTTTTTTCTGTCCTCCACTAAACTTATCCGTACACTTCCTTGTTTGCATTGGATACTTTGTCCAGTAAGAATTGAAATTTTACTTTATTATATTTAATGTAGGTTTCATTAATGTACTTAAATCCTAAATTCTAAACCCTAAACTCTAATTCAATATCAACAATGCATAAGGAAGTGTACTTAAATTTTGTTGTTTAATTATTTGTACATCTATGCTGCGTAGGCCTGAGGTTAACATAAAGCCATGGGAGATTTTGTTGGGAGAGTTGAAAGAAGGCACCAAGAGGATACCATGGCTGAACAGAGAGCCGTATGCTTACTGGAAAGGTAATCCAACAGTTGCTGAAACAAGGCAGGATCTCATGAAATGCAATGTTTCTGACAAACAAGAATGGAATGCTCGTTTGTATGCTCAGGTATCACTCTTCTTAGCTTTGTTCTATCGCGAATTTGAAAATATATAGTTCTATTATTTGAATATCAAAATTTTAATACTGTACATAATCATATATGCATATATTATTTTTATTTTTAGTTTTTTTTTTTCAAATACAAGTTTCTTAAAGTACATTTAATATTAAAAGAAACAACTTTTTATTGTTCCATTTTCAAATTTATGGAAGTTTTCCAATTTGAAAATTCCCATATTGAATGTTTGACTTACCTGACTAGCGAATTTGAATGAGTTATGAATATACTGCATTCAATACTTAAAAGAAAAATTTTGTCACATATAATAGTTTTATATAATTTAAAATGAAATTCTACTAAAGGTAACCAGTTAAATTTTTCAACAAAAATTAGTTATTGGTGAAGTTGATAGATAACCTCTACCAATAACATGATTAAAAAAATGATTTAAAAGAGTTTTCTTTTGGTGGAATGTTAATGTGATTTGTACCAAAATATTGAAAGTTAATAGACTTTTAGTGCACATGTATTATTTATTTACTTTTGCTTGTCGGTTTTGGACCTTATAGGGACAGATTGGGGGACAATGTTGTCTTGATTCCCTTCATATTTTTTCCTTGAATTCCTTCCACAGCTCTTTTGCATTCTCCATAATATCCTTGTTGAATCAATCTGAGGTCCTTTCGCAATTAAAAAACCAAATTCTTAATGTTCTTGCACAACTCTTGCATTTTCCATACATGACATGGTTGAAAGCAGACTTGGTCAAATAGTGTTTTAGAATTCAAGATATTAACATGAATAGTTCACTAATTTTCCAACTTAAAAGACCTTTCTATCGATAATACCCCACTTTCTTCAGGCCTCCAGCAAGATCTATAATGCGCGAGCCTATTCATAATTTAGGTAATAAAATGATGGTGTTTTTTTTTTTTTTTTTTTCCTGACAGTTATGTTTTGGTCCGCCGTGTTTTATTGGTTCTTCATCTCTTGTCATCATTCCATGGCTGTCATCAAATATAGACTCAGGGTAGGATTTTAAAGCCATATGGATCTTGTTACCATAATAATCTACAATTGTGAAATGAATTTTCTCTCTTTTCCCTTTTCTCATAACATAGGAGCAATTATATATAGAGATTCCTATAATTGCTCTAGAATCACTAAATACATTAATACAATGAGAAAAATAATTATGCACTGTCTGTGTAAAACAATTATATTGTGTCATCTAATCCGAAACTACTATATATATATATATATATATATATGATAAGTTTATTAGCTTTTAGAATGACTACAATTTAAAAGTCATACAATAGTAATTTTTATTGGTTGATACGGTGTATGACCATTAAATTCTTTACAAATATAATATGATGGCTTGTTAAAAAGTTATAAAATATTCATACAACGATGAAAATTACAGGAAGCCTATTGACAAATGAAAATTTCGTTCCAGGATTGGGGACGAGAATCACAAGAAGGGTACAAGAAATCAGACTTGGCAAGCCAATGCACTCACAGGTATAACATTCAAACTTTGCACTCATTTTATGAAACATGAAAGGGACAAGTTGGAATTCTTGCTTGAGTTAAAATTTTCTGTAGTAATTAATATGATTTTGGTTATTGAATATGTGTAGTTTATCAACAACTAAATGTTTCAATTCAATCACGACTTGTGCAGATATAAAGTGTACATTGAAGGTTCTGCTTGGTCAGTGAGTGAAAAATACATTCTGTCATGTGACTCTGTCACTTTACTTGTAAAACCCCATTACTATGATTTTTTCACAAGAGGGCTGATTCCGACCCACCACTATTGGCCCATAAAGGAAGATGACAAGTGCAGGTCCATTAAGTTTGCTGTGGATTGGGGTAACAATCACAAGCAAGAGGTAATCTTGATGTTTTACTAATTCACATTTTCTATAATATAATCCTTACCCATTTTAATCTTAATACAAATCTCACTTATGAAAATGTGATTTTCAAGATTATTTAAACTTACCAAAAAATAAAATTATAAAAAGTACGCTTTTTTAAAAAGTATTTTTAAGAACCAAATAGAAATATTTTTTAAAATAAGTATATTAGACAAACACATCCAAAATGTATAAAATTGTTTATTTGATTAAAAGAAAAAAATTTTCTTAAAAAGAGTTAAAAGAAAATCACTAAATATAATGAGGTCAAACCTGACTAAATAGTTAAAATCAATTCAATTTCAAACACCTTAATTTTAAGATTTAGATGATATCCTTAGTCAACAAGCTTAGCATGCATGTTTCACCCCATACAGCATTACACAATCCATATGTGCTTAGACAAATAATAAACAATAATTAATGTCAACCATTTGGGAAGAAAGAGATATGAAATAAATTAAATATCTTGCACAATCTTTATCTTATCTTTTTTTCATTTCGTTGCTGTTTGTGTTTAATTCATCAGGCACAAAATATTGGCAAGGCAGCAAGTGATTTCGTTCAAGAAGAGCTAAAGATGGATTACGTGTACGACTACATGTTTCATCTCTTAAATTCATATGCTAAACTGTTCAAATACAAACCCTCTATAGGTGTTAATGCTACTGAACTATGTGTGGAGTCTATGGTTTGTGGAGCAGAGGGAACAGTAAAGAAATTTATGATGGAATCATTGGTGAAGGGTCCTTCAAACACCAGCCCTTGCACCATGCCTCCCCCTTACGACCCTCCATCTTTGCAAGCGCACTTAAAGAGGAAGGAAGATTCAATTCAACAAGTTGAATCATGGGAAAAAAGTTACTGGGAAAAGCAAAATAGGAAATCTTAATGTATATTTTTCCCATGTTCAAATGACCATATGCATTCTTAGAATATTGTCCCTCTTCCACATACATATAGGGTTCTCTAATTAGGGGGATACAAATAGAATCTAGATTACCTTGTACTTGGCTAAATAAGCCCTTATCCTCCTCTTGTACGAATTGAGTTTTAGATTTTGCGGAAAAAAAATTGTTTGTTAATTTTTGTACCAACGGTTCAAGGTTTTGCAACCCAGTAGCATCTATTGCGGGTTTGTCAGAGATTATTAGGTATTGTGAATATGCAAAATTTAATTGAAATGCACTTAAGAGTGTAAACATTTGTTACACCATCAACTCATCAACGGTTTACATTTCAATGTGATATGAAAATGGTAATATATTGTTAGTGTTTGAACTATGCTGAAGAAAGCCAAATTAGAAGACCTGATGAAACTGCAACCAAACTTTCTAACAATCTATTTTCCATATAAGATGCACCTTTCTTCGTTGTGGCCGTTTCATCTGTCTCCAGGTTTCTACCATTCTGGGAACTTCCTTCAGCTAAATACACAAATAACACATTATAAATAAACGCAAATTTTAATTTTAATACTACACCATTGAAACTCAAATAAAATCCAAAACTTAATATTTTCTAATAAGGATCGCTACCAGGAGTGGGATAAGGACTGATAGAGCCACCATTGGTGTTCTGACCCAATTTATTAAAAGCTTGAGCTTCAGGTGATTTAGGATCCAAGTGCAGAACTGCTGCTCAAAGCATTTCAAAAATCACACAGTAGTTTCTTCAAATAGAATATAACCTCAAATGCTTTTAATTTTTTAACTTTCAGAAACAAACTAAAATTGGCATACAGTGTGTTTGATGTGTTTTTGTTTATTAGTTTTTATAAAACAGTTTTCAAAAACTTATTTTTAGAGAATAGAGGTGAGGCAAGACAAGATGTGAAAGTGTAAGGAAAGGATGAATAATTGAAAATTTAAAATAACTAGTGCAAAATTAGGTTACTACGTCACCTATTTTACGTCAGCAATTCAAAAACACGACGTTAAAAATAAGCAGTGACATTTTTGTAATTAAAAGTTGACTATTTTACGTCGGACTGGGGGGTCCAACGTAAATTATACAATCTACGTCAACTACAATACACCTCCGACGTAGATTGTATAATTTACGTCGGACCCCTCCCAGTCCGACGTAAAATAGTCAATATATGCCAACCCTTTCGTTCTCTTCCCGCGCCCTCTTCAGTACATTTACAGAAGTTTCTAAGTCTCTGCACCTTTCTAAGCCACTGCACCTTCTGTTCTCTAAGTCTCTGAACCTTTCTAAGCTGTTTTGCGTTGGGCCTGCACGTTTGAGGTTAGTCTCTGCACAATGCACCTTTCTAAGTTCTCTTCTCTGCATAATTTTCTGTTAATTGTTCATCTAGAACGACCCGTTCTACTTGAATTTATTGTTTGTTAATTGTTAACTGGAACAGGCTGTTTCGAAATCAGAACGAGTCGCTCTAGATAAACAATTAATACAAAACTAATGTAGCTGGACATGACACGAAGAAATATTAGACATTCCAACAGTGTCAGCAACTGAAAATTTTGAAGGGATGGACGATAATTTAGAAGAGATGATACGTGATGTTGGTGAAGAAAATTTTGAAAGAGCACATGTATATGATACCTTAAAGTCTGATTTTGAGCAACCATTGTACCCAGGATGCAATATGTTTACAAGATTATCAGCAACTTTAAAATTGTTTAGTTTAAAAGCAAGAAATGGTTGGACTGATAAAAGTTTCACATAATTGTTGGAGTTGTTGAAGGAGATGCTTCTAGAAGATAACACGTTACCTAATCGCAACTATGAGACAAAAAAGATACTATGTCCAATGGGTTTGGAGTATAAGAAGATACACGCGTGACCTAATGATTGCGTATTGTATACAAATGATTTTGCTACATTGAAAGTGTGTCCCACATGTGGATTGTCGCGGTTCAAAAAGAAAACTGATGGAAGTAGTGGTGAGGAAGAAATAGAGGCTCCCCCTACTAAGGTCTTATGGTATTTGCCAATAATACCTAGGTTTAAAAGATTGTTTTCCATTAAAGAGGATGCAAAAAACCTCACATGGCATGAAAATGGTAGAAAATGTGACAAATTTCTTCGACATCCAGCTGATTCTCCACAATGGAAGAGGATTGATGAAACATTTTCAGAATTTGGTGCAAAGTCAAGAAACTTGAGAATTGGTCTAGCTACAGATGACATGAATCCTTATGGGAACTTAAGTAGTACACACAGTTTATGGCTAGTTTTGTTAGTCATTTACAATTTGCCTCCTTGGCTATGCATGAAGAGAAAATATATTATGTTGTCTATGATGATATCAAGACCTCGAAAACTAGGAAATGACATAGATGTGTATCTTAGTCCCTTGATTGATGACTTGAAAATGTTGTGGGAGACAGGAGTGGAGGTCTTTGATGCATATCGTGAAGAAAAATTTACTTTGCGTGTAATGTTATTTTGCACAATAAATGATTTTCCAGCATATGGTAACTTGAGTGGGTATAGTGTGAAGGGTCATTATGCATGTCCTATATGTGAAGAAAACACAAGTTATACCCAATTGAAACATGGGCAAAAGACT